AGGAGCTGAGGCAGTGAAAGGACCTCACACTTTCTACCTGTTTGCTCTGCCTCACGTCTGCAGATGTGCCAGAGCTGTAAGCTGGCCCAAGCAGGGGGGTGATATCCCCTCCAAGGGTGTGAGGGGTGGATCATTTCTCCTCCATGGGGTAACAAGTGGGGAGAAGTGTAATTTTTCCTCCATCTGCAGCAGCTCCCAACAGCTTTTTCTTCTCTGTGTACATATTTTTTGTGCTATGTGGATAGAATATGTCCTGAGATTTGGGGTTAGGAGATTTTCCTTCCTTGGAAGTTCATGTGATGATGGTTCTTGACTTCCTCTGGCATTGTCTGCAAACCCTTCTCTCTGTAGCCAAGAGGCACGACCCTTTTAGTGACCTAATCTTTGGATTTAAGCTCCCCAGATAAAAGTCTCTGAATGACCAATTTGGTGACTGCAACAGGGAGCCTGTTTGTATTAAACTTTCTCTTATTTTGCCTCAGAGCTTTACAGCAGTTTCTTATTAACTTGCAGTAAAACTTTCAGCATCTCTTGCTGTGTGAGTAGTGAATTGCCACTATAAATGAGTACAATTTCCACAGGTCCTGGGGTGCAAATCCAGATGAACCCGTTAGATCTGTGCAGAGTGGAAGTCAGGACAGTGATATCCAGTGGGTAGAGCAGCAGACAGGCTCCTTTCACCCACCACCTGGGTAATGCCAAAGCAATTACACCAAGCCTCTGCCTTCTGCCTTCCTCGTTTGCTTAGCCAGCACACTCATAAATCTCTCTTGATAGGCAGTGATTGCTGCTTGGGCCCTTGTTTCAGAGATTGTCCTAAAGCTCAGCAAAGCCAAAGCCTTTCCTTTGAGTTCAGGGGGTTCTGTGCCAAGCTGTTGTGGTCTTATCACTGTATAAACAAGCAACAACACACCTTATATTTTTACATCCCATTTTCTTCTCCTTCTGCTCCCCAAATCAACCTCCAGCTAACATAATTTATCCTAGATTGGAAGCAAATCAGCAATGTCAGCTGGTGTGGGGCCGTGATCTCTGCCTCCAGCAGCCCTAGCAGTGGGCAAGGTGGTTTTGCTGAAAGCATCACAGCGAAGAAGAGCCTGGCAGAGAAATGAGCTGCATGTTTTGAAGGTACAGCACATGAGTGAGGGAAGCTGGCATGGGGTGGGGGGATCAGGTTGGTACAGAATGAGAGCAGAGGGGAAAGCAGCCACCTTTCAGAAAGGCATCTGTGTGTTTCTTGTTGTAGTTTTATTTCAGGCTTTTCTCCTTGGCAACATCTGTAATCCTAGCCTGGAAATTCATGCACTGCTGCTTAGTGGAGGTGGAAATGACACAGCTAGAGATGAGCTTCCCCTGGGTGACTGCCACGAGAACTTCAAAGGGGAGCCTTGATTATTTAAATGATAATAGAACTCAGCAAATTACCTAAAGTACAAACACGCCTGGCTCCAGTCCTAGGGATCCAATTATGGAGCCTTTTATGTGCAATAGATTGTTCTTGCTTTCTGAAAAGGGGCTCTTGAAAATGTGCACCCAAAATGCCAGGTGATGGGGTGGCACATTACCAGCTCAGCCTCTGTGGAACTGGAGCTCTTATGGGTTTCTTATTCATCTTCCACAGGATTCTGTTCACAAGTGCTCACAGCTCAGTCTTCCACCTCTTTTTGACCTCTGATATTTTATCTGCAAATAATTGCAGTGACCCACAGTTCACGTTAGTGTAGCTGAGTTTGGAAGCAGGCTGAGGATGTACAGAAACCAAACTCCAGGAGCACTTACCCTTCACTGGATTTCCAGTGAAATTTCAGCAGCAGGAAACCTTTATGCCTGTGAGGATGTGCCTGCTCCAAGAGTCACTGGGAGCAAGCTGTCAGACCCAGCATTGTTAGGAAGGACTCTGGAACCTTCCCATTAACACCAGGTATCCCAAGATACTGGTTCTCCATTGCCTGACACCCTGATGTCCATGGGCAGTGTGGATTAACCTTTCCACCACACAGGCTGCACCTGGACTAGCCCTGGGGCTAGCATGCCTGGAGAGGGGCTCTGTTTCAGAAAGCTGGATGCTTCCTGCCATGTTCCTGCATGTCTGCTTCCTCCTGGCACAGGGAAGTGGTTGTGTTTTGGGGGAAAAGAAGTGAAAATCTCTTCCTGACTATATGAAGGAGTGTTAAATTAGGATAACAAACCAAAAACCTCTTGACTCCTGTTTTTACAGGTCTTTGTATGCTGGGAGCTACAGTGTTACCTGGATGGCCCACTGAGACCTCACTCCTCCAGGAGAATTTGCCCATGAGCAGTCCATGGGGCTCCATCTGGAAAAATTTCCACCCTGGTCAGGCTGCAGTGTTGGTTTTAAGGCATATCAACAGCCTGCTTATTGATATGTCAATTATACTGAAATCTGATTTATTTTTTCACCCTCCATTCTTCATCTGACTGGTGAAATGCTTCATTTTTCCTGTTCTTTTGCTTAGGGCAGGTAACACAGAGTGTAATAAATTCATTATATGGACTGTTCCATCGTTCAGTAGCTTGTACTCAGGGTGCCTGTGTAAGTGAGGAGAATTTTTCCTGCCAGCAAGTGCCTGTTCAGGGCATTTTCACTGTTACTGCTGCTTTGTTATCAAAATGAACTTAGAGTAAGTAGCAAACTGTGTAAGACCTGACAGAAATTGTTAACTAGAGAAGTCTTTGTGATATGTTGCTGAGGTTTGTGTTCAGGATTTGTGTTTACAACCTCATAACTACTGGTCTGAGGAGAGAAAGATTCTGGAATAGCCATAGGTGGGTAGAATGAATGGTAATTTCTGAATGTGCAAGAGAGATTGAAAGGGTAATTATTTTAAGAATGTAGAGAAGCTGTTGGTAGCTTGTGGTAGGGGTGAGTCCCTCTATTAACAAGTCATTCTGTGCTTCCTTGTCTCTGATGGTCAGCTCTTAAGCACTGAAACATGTTTATGAGCTGGTTATACTGATGTTCTTCCTAGAACAAGTCTGCAGCATCAGAGTGGAAGCTGTATGTTCAAACCAGCCTGAGAGAAGAACAAAGCTTTCTCTGGTTTGGCTGAGAATAGCTCTCCAACAGGTCCTGCATCACCTTCATTCTCTGGGACTTGTGGTTAGAAGGAGCAGAACCAAATCCCAGAGTTTAAGTGCTTGAGGCAGGCTCAGAAACTGGATCCCTGGCTGCTCTGCAAACAGGCTCTGTCACCCAGAGCTGAACTGCCAGAGCCTGAGTGTGTGCAGCGAGAGGGTTGCTCATGGACTTGCTCTGCAGAGGTGTTTGTGCTCCACCTGGCAGCCTACGTCTGCTGGTGGACTTGCTCTGCAGAGGTGTTTGTTTGTGCTCCACCTGGCAGCCTACGTCCAGACATCCTCTTAGGAGCCCATTTAGTACTAGAATATTTTCATCTAGGAGCATGTCTTGTGGGCAAGAAAATGAGAGGAGTACAACTGTGTAGCCCTTCTGTCTGCTCCAAGCAGAAGGCTGGAAGTGAAGAGCTCTGTGTGTGAGCATCAGTGTGCACCTCTGGCTTGCCACGGGGCTGCCTGCAGAGCTCAGCTCTCCTCAGCATCCCCAGAGCACAGTCGTGAGCCTGGCAAACCACCCTCTCTGCAGAACTCCTTTGGCTCAGGAGCTTTGCCAAGGAGCTGTTCTCAGACTTGTTCCTGGTTAGATTCAGTGATTCGCTTAAAAAAATAGAATGGACAAGCATTTTTTGTTCGTGACTTTACTTTTTTGTTGCAAACATGCTTTGCAATATCTGAATCTGCCTCTGGAAGAGCAGGGTGCCCTCAAACTTCTTCAAAGACATTTCTCCTTCATGGAGGGCAGCTTTTTCTTTATGCCAGATGAGATCTATTAGTAAGAAACAATTGCTTTCCTCTGTCAGTGGCAGGTCCAAATGCTGAGTAACAACTTTCTAGTGCTGCAACCCTTTTAGTTCAAACTGTGGTGGTCAAAGACTTGGGTCTCAGTGTCCTGCTTTCTGAGGACTTTTTTTTGTGAAGATGGCTATGTTGGTCTTGTATTTAGTTTTAGATGATAGTAATCTTTTAACTTCAGAAAGGTTCTTTTAGTTAAAACAAAAAGGACTTGTGTGATTGTATGTGATTTTTAGAATTTTTTCTTTAGTTAAACAGAAAGCAGCCCTCTGAAATACTTCTGAATTCTAGATTCTGGTGGATTGTGGCTAACTGCAGCCCAGGGCACTGTTTCAGCTTCAGGAATGACAGGTGAAAGAATCACAATTAAGGCTTGAAACAAATGCATCAAATTATGGCAAACTGCTTATGATCAGTGAGATGATGAGAGCTGTTTATTTAGACATCCAGTACACAAACAGTACCAATGTTTTTTGTAATTAAATCTCAGATAAGTGTCCACAAGTTATTACTCTGACACAAATAGGCAGTGCAGCAAGGATGTGTTCTGTTGGCTGAGTAATCCAGGGAGAGGTGGGGGCAGTTTGCTCAGTACATCAGGTAGTAGATGGGTTGGTGGAGCCACTGTGAGTAAGGGCTGAGCAGCTCTCTGAAGGGCAACAGGTCCTCTGGAACCTCAGAGTCAGTCCTGTCAAGAGAGCAGAGGAATAAGTGAAAGGTGGGTAAGTGGACAAGATTTCACACATGGAAATGAACTGATTCCTTACTCTTCTAGGGCCAGGTTCAACTCCACTGTCCTGCTCAGGGTTTCTCTGGGTTGCCACAAGCCTGGGGAGCTGGTGAAAACCTCCCTGACCTGGCTGCTGGGACAAGATGAAATGCATACAGCTGATGTGGAGAAAGGAGGGAAGGCAGAGCTGTGGCATTCACAGGTTTTAAGGATACAGCTGATGACTGAATTCTGAGGAGGGTAAAACTGGTAAACTGTGAGAGAGGGGTAGAAGTTGCTTTAAAGCAGCATTTCCTTAAAGCTCAATTAAATCTCTTCCACATATTTATGCAAGTTATACACGAACACACAGACCACCTGCCTCTGCTTTCCCTTACCACAATTAGCATCCCAGGCCACTCAGTGACCCAATTCTGTCCAGCTTGACACCAAAACAGCCCCTGGAGAGGCCCTTTTTGCTTCTGCTTCGATATCTTCGGGGTAGACCCAGGAGGTCACTGAAGAACCTCTGGACAGCACCATCACCCATGGACATGCTCTCGGGCTGGTCCCTGGTGCTCTGGGTCCACTGGAATTCAGTGTCTTGCTCCTCAAAGGTGCCTCTTGGGATCATGTCATCTTGCTCATGGTTCCTCTCTTCTGAGACCAAGGGATGCTCCAGGTCCTCATCCAGCAGTTTGGAGAGGCTCTGAGGAAAGGGAAAGGTGGATGGTGGAGAGGGAGGAGAGGAGAAAAAGGAGGAGTTCTTGGAACTCTTTTGTTTTTCACATAAGCCATGCTCAGTGCTAAGTTTGGAGAAACTTATTTTGGATATTTATCAAAAAATCAAAGTATTGGAGTGGTTTCTGAAGCTGATCATAGTTATCCTTATTTTCTTCTGGCTCATCAAGCTGCTCTGAGCCAACACTGTGTGTTCTCTCAGGATGCTCTAAGGCTCTGTGCTGTTACTGTATTCTACAGTTCTGAGCTGACAAACTGCCAGTTAAGTCTTTCCTGGAGCTGGGGATCTGGGAGAAGTTGTAAAAGATGATGTCAAAAGCCAATAAGGAATGAGAAAAAATGGTTGGTACCTTGGAATAATAAAAGCAGCAAAGCAAAGACAGGAGACATGCTGAAAGTGATGCTGGAAAGATGATATATTTCTTTACAGATTGGGAGGTTCCTTCCTATTTGGGAATACCAGATGTCTAGTCAGGTAGCTGAAAAGTGGTTTCCTCAGGACTGGGAATTCCTGTGCACACAAATACACACATACAAACACACACAGAGTCACTCTTGCCCTTTTTCTGGTGTTCTGCCTCTGGGACTCACAAGCAGGGACTGCATCACTGCACTGCTGAGCTGAGGAGCAGATCGTGCAGATACAACCCCCAAATTCCTTTTTCAGCTGCAGGGAGGAGCATGCAGGTGCCTGCTGTAGGGCTCTAGATGAGAGTCCTTCCAGAAAAATGCCTCTTATTCCCAAAGTGTATTGCTTCACTCAGTCACAAGGTGATCCTGCAATTCCCAAACCAACCCCACAGGAAAAAAATTCTTTTCATTTGCCTCATGTGGTCACAAATTGAAATCTAGTAATCAATTAATTTAATTTCCCTGCATTTAGTGACTGCGTGTCTGCCCACCTCAGGGTTCCTGCTGTCGTGGTCTCTTTTGAGTGTCAGCTTTAGCTGAGGTTGGAAGAAACAGAGTTAATCTGAAGTGTCTAAGTCCTAAAGAGCATCAGCTTCTTCAGTGCTATTGAGCAGCCAGTCACTTACCTGCAAGCTGGCAATGGGCCTGGCCCTTCCCTGGTTTTGACTGACAATAAGCAGCAGAAGGAATCCAGGGTAAAAAAGAAGTTTCATCTTCATGTTCTGGTGTCTGATTCCTCCTCACTTTGAGTCTCCCCAGTTCAGTGTTGCTCTGTGTTTCCAGCTACCAGCCTTTATATCTCCCTTCAACCCCTCCCAAGTCTACCTTTTGAGTTCCTGCCAGGGCAAGGATTGGTTTGAGGTTCTGATCTGTTTTCATCCTCCCAGGAGGAGGAGGGAGGGAATACTTCTCCTTTCTGGTGGTGAATAAAAGCAGCACTTTACACTTAGGCAATGCAGCATCGTTCTGTTGCTGTGAATCTGAAGGTCTCTGCAACCTGGTGCCACATAATGTGTGTCAGCTTGCCTTGCTCAGTGCTCCCTGGGTGGACTGCTAAACCTTTCCTTTCTATCCAGAGAAAAAGAATTATGAGAGAAGTACCAAGTGAGACAGAAAGCTGGTGGTATCCACTACACATTCCCTCAGCTCCTTTGTCCCTGTGAAATGCTACATCAGAGAGGCAGGAGTCTCATTAAAGAGGCTATGGAAGAACTAAGTGTTACTGTCTCCCATAATAATAGGGCATTAGCAGCCTCTGGGACCAGAGAGTGTGATTTGGAGAAGAAGGGAAATCCAAGTCCTAAAAATAGGGCAAGGAAGTTGTAGTAGCTACTGGCCTGAGTGCCAGGGAGTATGGCTGAAAGCAGGCTGGTGATTCTGCATGGCTTAAGCTGAGGGAGAAATTCCTCTTTTCCCCTGCATCCAGCTTAAAAGATCTCTCCTATGTGGTCTTTCTCAGCTTCTAAGACACTGTATTAAATCTAAAACCAGGCTGAAAGGCAGCTCAGCTCCCACCTCTTCCCTACCCCAGGTACAGAGACAAGGAGATGAAAAAGCTGCAGGATCAGAGTCTCTGCTTGGTGGGGTCTTTGGGTTTTTTTTTTTTGGTGTGGAGTTTTGTTTGTTTGGGGTTTTTCTGTTTATTTTTCTAATGAATTGAAGCTTCGAACAGAATTCTGTGAAATATCAGGGGGAGAAGAAAGTAATTCAGTTCTTAGCCAGGATCTTGAGGGTGTTTAAATCCCTGCTCTTGGCCAGAGCCCCTCCTGTTGTAAAGGCACTTGGAAGAGCAACAATAAAACCTGTTAAGTTGCCTATTTTCTAGGGCCTTGAAGTTTGGCCCTACTGAAAAAAATGGAAAATTTCTTGATTATGCAATAATTTAGTTTAGTTTAAGATACAATTGTTGTGTGTCCCTAGAAATGGGTATTCTAAGGAGACAGCTTAGGAACATCCCTCTATGACAAAGGGAGGTCTGCTCTTATTACCTTGTTGGGATATTTTTTGTATCAATATTGATTAAAACAGGATTTTAATGACATGTTAGAAAATGATGCCATCATTTCTGAGGTTTGAGGGGTGTACTTTGCAGTGTAACAAGACAGTAAGAAGAGGTCAGGATGGTTTCAGCCTTGTCTTTTCTCTGAAGAAGCCTCTGGTTGTTTTACTGGTTGGATTGACTTGTCCCAAGTCTCCATACAGGTGGATAATGAATGTTCTTGACCTCAAGATCTCAGAACTTGCTCTGAAGGACTTCCAGGTTGTGTCTCTGGTAACTCTTGGAAATACAGGCACTAGCACAGTCCTCATCTATGACTATGCTGGTAAAACCAGAATAATTAAGGTTGGGAAGGATGTCTGGAGGTCTGTGGTACAATCTCATGCTAAGAGCAGAGCCAGATACATCAAATTTTGCAGTGTCTTATCAAGCTGAGTTTTGAAAATCTCCAGGAAACAACGATTTCCTAATAGCTGGTTGGAATTTTCCCTGTTGCAACTCGTGTCTTTGCCTCTGATCCTGAAGCATTGCAGCTGGATGCTGTCCATGAGCAGAACAAAAGGAAGTTCCATCTCCCAAACCTGTGACAATGTGAGAGTGTTTCACAGGGTGCTGCATAACCTAGACCATGAGGACAGCCTCAGTCCATCTGGTCAACAGCTGGGCTCAAATCCAATTTTCTTTTGGAAACAAGAAGTTAGAAACAGAAAACCATCCAGCAAAAGTCTCTGCTTTACCTTCTGGATCTTCTCAGGGCTCAGGGTAGCACAGAAACCCAGTGTCTGAATTCTCACAGCAATTTCAGCGATTGCCATTGGGGTGGTGCAGCTCAGACAGAGAGTGAAGTTTGTTGCTGAAGTCTCTAAGGAGGGAGGGACCTCTGAGGACAGTAGGAAATACTTGAGAGGCAGGAGATGGCTTTGTGCCCGTTTCTGAGGTGATTTGAGTGTTCCTTTGTAGGGCAAATCTTCCATGCAGGCTGGAAGGAGGTATCAAGAAGGCGACAGGTTGGTTTGTGTTGCTCATCTCCAACTAAATGGTTTCCTAGTTTACTGAGATATTTCTTCTGTACCAGCAGAGATCTTATTTCTTATGAGAAGAGCAGGGTTAGGACACACTGTTCCCCTGGGGATGCATCAGCCTCATCCCTCCAGGCTGCTGTGGGGAAGCCCAGCTCTGAAGCTGGCAGTGCGTGGCATGTTCTGATGGTACCTAACCCATTGTCCTCCTCCTCCTTCGCAGGTCAGTGACCCCTCTGAGGCTCCTCTCCTCCCCAGCTGCCCAGCCCAGCCTCTCCTGGCTGGCTGCAGCTGGCTGGAAGGGCACTGACGTGTTTGCTTTTGGCAAAGTGGGGTCGCCAAGTCCTTGATGGGAGCTGGCACCGGGGGCCCCTCGTTAGGAGACATTAACGTTGAGCTGCAGCATCCAAGCCCTTGCCTGCTTGTCCCCCTCCCTTGCCCTCTCCTGAGGGGTCTGCTGGCTGAGCTGAGCAGGGTTCAGTGCACAGCATCACCCTGAGCTGGGCTTGGCTGGCGATTGCCCAGCTGCAGATGCTCTGCTGGCTCTTGTGGCACTTGGTTGTCTTCACCATAGGGTGTGTGTGACAGCAAGACCCTGTTGGAGGAGGAGGTGCAGCTGCAGCAGCAGTTCTCTCTACAGAAAAGGGACTGCTGAGGTCACTTACCTGGTGTAAGGCTGGCATGGATCTGCTGGATCTGCACCAGCACAGCCCAGAGCAGCATGTGGTCCTTGCTTCAGGCATGGCTGGGACTGTACTGGGAGAAAACTCTGGTCACCTAGTGCCTGTGACAACCTGTTTGTGTGGAATAAACCCAACCCTTTCTGCTGGGTGACTGTGAAGGAGCTTCTCTTGTGGGCTGGGCATCCCACAGTGGCCCACTGCCCACGTTCCTGGCCAGCAGCACCTTCTGTGAGGCTGTAAAGTGGGGTCCCAAGAACCCCTTTTGCTTTTGCCTGATCTGTTCTGCTCTCCCTGATGCTCACTGGTCTCTTTGATAGGATTTTGATAGGAAAATATCCTCTCTCTTTCAGGAGGGGATATTTTCCTCTGCAGCCCTTAGGGACAAGAAGGGCCCTGGGCCACCTGAGGACAAGGAGGGCAGCGGGCTGGCATTCACTGGCAGGTCATAGGTGGTTCTGGGGCATTGGGGTTTGATGGCAACATTGGAATATTGGGTTTGTCAGGCACATTTCTCACCTTGTGCTGACGCTCGTGAAGCCCAGCAGGGAAGCAGCAGGGAGGGAGGGAGGGGATGGAGTAGCTGGAGGTTGTGCTCAGCTCCAGTCACACGCCTGAAACAAGCAGGAGACAAGCTGAGGTGTTCAGACCAATGGCTCAAGACTTCTGGTCGGTGCCTGGTGAGAGGCAGAGGCTTACAAAAGTACTCCTAGTCCATAAATCCTCAGCCAAAACTGTATCTTTGGCTAAGCTTTCTCTCTAGCAAGATGAACAGCACCTTCCTGCCCTGTTGTTTGGGAAAGGTGGGGATGTCTGCCCAGGCAAGGTGTAGGTCACACTGCAGCTGAACACATGGATTAGCTGGGCATGGTTTTAAAACACACAGGTCTTCTTAGCCCTGTGGCAGCCAGCCTTGCTTCTCCCTGGTCTCAGGAATTCTCAGGCTGATGTTGCACTGAACAGTTCAGAATCCAGGTCTTTCATCAATATCTTATCACCCTGCTATAGGAGCACTGAGCTTGCAGGGGAAGCGAGCTCAGTTCATAAAATCATGTGTCTGGTGAAGCAGAGAGGCTGCTACAGGAGCCTGCAGTTCATAGCCTCTGACAGGAGGAAGAAAGAACAGAAGAACCATTCCTGGGCAGTGTGGAGGTCACATATTCCCAGTTGTTTTGAGCTGAGAGAGATTTCCCCAGCAAAACCGGGAGGTTTTTCCTGTGAGACCCCATCCAGCCTCTTTCCTTAGTGAGGTGTGTGGTGACCTCTCCTGGTGAATGGAGAACGTGGCTCCCAGTTTGGTTAGAACAACTTCTGATTGGGAAAAAGGAAAAACAAACAGATCAGACACTGAGAGGTTTGGATAAATTCAGCCTTTGATTCAGGAAGGTGGCACATGCAGTGTGAGGAGGGGCTGAGTGGCTCGTGTGGAGGGTTTAGGCTCTGGCAGCCCTGTGTGTGTGTGGGGAGGCAGCTGGGATGTGTGTGATCCTTGAATCCACGGGCACATTATTCCCCAGTTTGCATGCCCAGCAGTGTCAGATGTTCTGCTGGGTGGCTAAGTTTAGCTCCAGCACTAGGTGTGTTCATCTGGACTCTTATAATAGATTTTTCCCAGAATATAAGTTTCTGTAAGAAGAGCTGGGAGTGGTGAGGACATTTCTGAAGCATTTTGTCTGGGTACCATTTGCCAGGTTTAGCTGGAAGAGCTCAGAGCAGTGTCAGCAGCACCCATTGAAGGTTTGCTAGCCAAGGAGCCAAACCAAGGGGCAAGAGGTCACATCCCATTGTGCTATTTATTCCTGCATGCCATTTGTCAGCTCGGAGCGTGCAGAAGGAGAAGCCACTTCTAGAAATGGCCAAACAGCTCCAGGAATGAGATGGCACCTGTCCTAGAAGCTGCTGTGGTTGTTTACTTCCCCTCTCCCTCTCCTACCAGACTGACAATGAACCTAAGAATAACTTGACTACCTAAAAATGTAGCCATTACATAAAGCCTGTCCTGCACTGAACACTCT